TAAGCCCGTTCACATTGGCCGTGCAGAAAAGAAAAATGGCATCATATTTGAAGATGATCACAGGAGCTCGATAAATATGGAAAGAGACAACATATGAGGAAGATATTGTGGGGGAATCTTATTATATCTAGTATGAACGCCTATCCAAGGAAAGATCCTACTAATTGATGTAATTAGGTAGGATGGGATTGAGTTCCCTTAGTTAAGAGAAGATCTTGTAGATACAATCCCTTGATTTAGGGTATCTTGTATTAATTGGGCAGATCTTAGCCGTTGATGTAAATCGATAGTAGTCATTGATTGAGAGGGAGCTCAAATATAAATGGATAGCATGTTCTCCTCATTTGGATCATCCATTCATTCATTCATTCCTCCATTCTCTTGGGAGAGAGTAATAAAACTCTGAGGCATTTACTCTAGTTCTTTTGTTCTTTATTCTTTATTCTCTTGGTTCTTGTTGACTCTCTTGGTGTCTAGAAGTAGTCACACTTGTGTTTGCACTTTCACACCATAGTCTAACCTTGGTGGCTTAGAATAGCCATTTTGGTGTTAAAGCTTTCGCATTCTAGAAGCCTTGATGGCTTGGTTTCAACCTTGGTGAGTTTGCATGCTCACTAGGCTTGGGTAAGGCCTAATTAGTCCAGACAAGACCCAGAAGTGTCAATAAGCGTATAAGGTCGCACGACTCGTTAGAACTTAACTCTGATATTGCGACAGTTTGGGCTTGAAGGTTCTGAAGGCGTGACATTTAGAATCTATGATGGTTCATCTCAATAATATCATATTTGAACGTGTTTGTTGCTCTCCCATTCTTGTTTTTTTCTTTTCTTTAGATTTTATGGATGATATCGATTATTTTCTTTTGATTTTGTTTAACCGATAGCAACACTAATTTTGATATTAGTTGTCGATCGTCTGTTCTCTTTTCTCTTTGTTTCTCTTTTAGTTTTTTAATAAGGAAAATTCTGTCGTTGTGGCATATTTATCTATGTCTTTATGATACGTTTTTCTCTGCCTTTGGGGCACGTTTTTTGTCTTTTTTATCTTTTGGTCGATACTTTTATATTATATTTTCTTAGGGTTAGATTTGACGACGTCATGACTAATCACGATGGCGCTTATTTGTAATCCAGTTGATTTTCCCTGATATGGACCCACATATTACATTTGGATAGCGATTTTGCGCTCGTGGATAGTTTCTCACAATGTTCGGCTTTGATTTGCAGTTCTCGGTGGTCTTTCAATAGCTTAATCCCCTCTTGTGGTTCGTTTATCGATACAGTCAAATGTACTTGTATCTATTTTTTGATTGAGTCTTTTGGTTGATTTCTTAACCTTTTCCATGTATGTATTTATATGATCTAAATTGGCTAGTTTCAATGTTATAAGAAAATATCCAAATTATATATTTAGTTTATGATGATATTTGTAAACTCTTACTGTAATTTCATATATTCATTGTTTAATTAGACTAGTAACTTCTATTAAAAAATAATATTATATTTTAAGGTTTAAGCTCTTTTCTTTTTTATTGAATTCTCTCGTCGCGAATACAATGTATTCACCATATTCTAATCTAAGGGATTGGAGGGTCCTAAAATTTGTCAAATTACATTTTAACTCTTTCATAAAAAATTTGTTTTCTTTTTTGAACAATGTCTACTTGAAGGAGGGGGAAAATATTTTTGTTTCTAATGGGTATTGGACCCACAACTTAGGAAGAAAGGAGATATTAATTGAAAACTTTTAACCACTTGCTCTATAGGTTGTTGGCGTAAAATTTATGTTTTCTAACGAAAAAATTGGTAAGAATTTTAATTTAATTTGTTGAACTAATACAAAGTAGTTTCCAAATATAATTTTGGTAAAAGAAAATAAAGTTAAATAGAGTGCAATAAAGTTAAAATATTTTAAAATTATAAAAAAACTTAAAAAAATAAAAAATATTAAGATTATAAAAAATATTGAAAAGTTATACAAATGTTTAAAAATTATAAAATATTATAGAATTATTCTAAAATATTACAGAATTATTTTATAAATTATACAAATATTACAAAAGTATTCTAAAATATAATAGAGTTAATAAAAATTGTAAAAAATATTTTATAAAATTTAAAATATTAGAAATTATAAGAAATATTAAAATAGTATTAAAAAATTCTAAAATCCGTTGTGACAATCACCATTAACAAAAAAAAATTCAGACGCAAACTAACAAGTCTATTAATTTTTTATTAATTAGATTTAATTTGATAAAAAGAAGTTAAAAACTTAAGAGCCAATAAAAATAAAAATAATTAAAATAATATTTATGTAGATTTTACATCCACAGGTTCGGTTTTGACTTTATACAATGATTTGGTAAGATTTGCACAGAAAGCACATGGCATGTCATCAAAAGAGAAGCCGCAATTTCATTCAAACCTAGCTGTAGTTGTATCGTAATAGTTTAATTTAAGCTTAAAAATTAATAATTTTGAAGTGTAGTTGAACTTAAAATATTATGAATAATGTATTGAAATGTTATGAAGAATGAAATATTTTTTCAACCGAAAATATTATAAAAATATAACATTTAAGATTACGTTTAATTTAAAATATTATGATTTTTATCATATTTTCGATTACATCTCAAAATTATCATTTTTAGTTTTAAATTAAACAGTTGCTGCTTGTACTTCCCCTCAAACCGAGTATGATTTTTCAATCCACGACGCACTCCAAATCATTTCTAAAATCCAAACCCATCCCAGGGTTCATTAATTAAGGGCAGAAATTTTGTGTAGACTAGTTATGGGGGCAAGGTAATGATTAAACCTTTTATAATGGTGAAATGTCATTGAGGGTTTATTAAAAAGGGTTGTACGATTAGGGTTGTTGTATAGTTAGAAAAGTAAAAACAGGGCGAGTGTACTAATAATTTTTACGTCTTTGTGTGAAAAAAAGTTAGCAAATGGAATCTAGAGATAGTACAAGAGGGGCATCCAGTGGTTAGTACCTCTCCTGGAAGAAGAAAAATGCCAATATCTACCCTACACTTATTATTCCTTTGAGTGGGTGTCACCTTTTCTATTGCTATATATAGAGGATGAGTCCTATAGATCATCATCCATCAATGCTTCCCAATAGCTTAGTTTTCATCTCCCAAGGGCACCACCACCCTTTCCTTTTAAAGTAAAACAACAGTATTGTGTAGGGCCTGTTGGGGGGAGGCAAGAGAGGAGGCACTGGTGATTGTTGTTGACAGAAGATAGAGAGCACAGATGATGGTCTGCGATAAGCATGCATCCCACTCCTTTGTGCTCTCTATGCTTCTGTCATCATCACCTTCAGCCACTCTTATCCCTTCCTTTTCACCCTATTTTTTCTGCTTCTTCTTTTACTTGTAAGTTATGTAAATTCGCTTGCCATGTTCATATTTCCTTTTGCAGGGAGGCTCTTGTTGAGTGGCGTTATCCTACATCTACCAATTCTTTTGGATTCCATGTTTTCTCATATACAAGTTGATTTTAAGTTCCACACTCAGTACGTTATCCCACAGATAGACCTGGTTGATGGGATACTTTTGTCGTAATTAGGTTTCTTAAGTACGATGGGATTTGGTTTTCAAAAATCATAATATTTTTAAACTAGGGATGTTACTATTATGGTTACAGTCACAATTTAATACTATGGACTTCATTGAGCATTTTACTGTATATGAGTTTGGCAGAAAATGGTGATCTTAGAGAAGGTATTGGACTGTATTTATACAGAAGAGAGGTGCAAAGCTTTTAGATTTTGATATAGGATGCTGCTAAACCCTGGTATGTAAACTGAAATCAATTGTCATTTGTAAGAACTTATGATATATTTTTCATGGAAAATTGTATCTCCTTCTCGTTGTATATTTATATATATGATCCCCACTTCACCACAAGTAAAAAAGTAGAGATAGAAGCAACATTTCAAGCAGAGAATTGATAGTTAAGGCTGCAATCTCAGGATGCATTGTATATACCCCTAATACTTTTTAGACCTCCATCCTACTCATAAACTGGAATCTAAGATTAAATTGTGAGAAAGCTTATAGATCTAAGAGATGCCAATAGGGTGGGGCAGGTGAAATTTTAGGTCATCCTACTAAAATTATGGCCTTTTATCATATTTAGTCTTGCTCAAAGTTGCACAAACAAAGCGACTTCAGTGATAAAGGAATTGTTTTTTTGTCTCGGTTCGAGCATCATGAATGTTAGACGTGTAAGCATTAAATATTGCTCAAAGTTTTGAGATGTAAATATGTCCCAATTTCCTACACAATTCGAGTAAATACAATATGAAATTTTATTTATTTATTTTACATTTTTATCAGCCAAATAGAGAGATGGTTCCTTTTGTTGATCTTGACAACTGATTTTTTTCTTGATCTTGTCCTTTAACCAACTACAAAATCAATATTAGAAATTCAAATTAGAAATCAAACAAACCCAAATCAAAGAACATGTAAAGAAAGAAAGCACAAATTAACAAACAAAAAATTGAGAGAAAACGAAAATAATATTAAATAAATAAAATAACAAATCCGAATCTCAACAACCAATCAATCGAGTTTTAATTATCGGAACCTCTAATATGAAAACATCCATAGAGGAAAATAGCATATGTAAAAAACATGCAAGAAAATAGCAAAGTTTATCCAAGAAAATATGACAAACTAAGGAAGAAGATGACGGAAGCAATTACAATGAAAGAGAGCATACTACTTTCAAGGCTTTGAAGATAGGGGAAGAACAAGAAAAACCCGAAAAACTAAGGGTAAAATACACAAATTGTCACACCTCAAAATTTAGATTAAGAGATTATAGGATAAATAAGGACTAGTTTGAATGTGAATTGAATCAGAGAGACCAAAACGAAAACCCTAAAAAGTTTAATGGTAAAACTTGTAATTTTCCCATTAGGTTAGATGTAAATACCTTGTTTTGGAGTAGTTGGGCCTTTTCCTTCATTTTGTTTTAGTGCAACCGCAGAGTGAGAAGGGGAGTTTTCCAAATTAATTTTCGTTCTAAACAAAAGTATGTTCGTTCACTATTTTGTCAGTTACCGTTGTCGACATCATCCATATCACGTTATTTCTCTCGTCATCCCGATCAAAACTCGACCGACCGCATCTCCACCGTCGCCATCGTTCGTGGGAGTGAATAGAGGGAATTTTCGGGTTTCTAAGAAATCGAGTCTCCGCTGTAAAGCACCGCAAACCAACCACGGTAAGGGGTTCCTCGTCTCGTGTATAGTAATTTTGGAAATTTTGGTTGAATTTTGGTGACCATAGCCGTCGCACGTGCCGCCTCTTACCAGGGGAGAGTCTTGGACCCATCTAAACCAATTTAGGCTGAACTAGTTCATTCCAACCAAACCGAACCAGACTCGACCATTGACCCAACCTGACCCATTGACCCGACCTGTTAATCTAACCCGACCATTGACTTTTTTAAGGCCTCTACCTTGACATTTTTTTAATGTCATGAGTCTGTTTTTGCATTATGTTTTGTTAAATTCTAACCCGACGACCTTTATTTATCATTATTATTGATTATTTAGACTTTTATATTACAATTATTATTTAGAAATTGACTTAGTTGTTATTAATTGTTTATAAAGGTTACCTAATCTCTCCCGAGCGCTCGCCAGTGGATTATATTAATCATGACGGTTATGACGGTTCGATTAAAGTTACACGTAAGATGTTTTAACTTGGGAATCTTATATCCTTATAGTTAGTATATGAGTTGTTTTGAATATTAAAATAGTGTTTCGAACTTGGAAGTTCTAATGTTGTTGGATCTAGTGCTACCGAGCGTGGGAAACATGTTTAGAGTTAGTACTATAACTTGCTAGAGGTGTGTTCCTTGTTTGGTGCTATATGTTATATACTTAAATGTGCCATGTATGGGATATGTTGAGCATTGATGATATGATATGAAAATCTGTGATTTGTGTTTATCGACGTGTGTTTTTACTGAATAATTAAACTTTGTTTATATCAGTAAGCAAAACATGATGAATCGAATATGTTGTGATCGTTCTGCTTTAATATGAGTGTGTGCATTATTCATATCATAATGTATGTTGCATCGGGATGGGATAGCGTTACAGAAGTGATCTAATTATCGATTCGTTCATCCATTGGCATGATAAATCTAATTATCGATTGGTTCATCCACTAGGATGATAAATCCAACTATCAATTGATTCATCCAACCGGGATGGTAAACCCAATAACCATATGGTAATGTGATAGAGCTAAATGGATTGGGTTGCATTGCATCCATACCATGTATCACATTTTATATGTATAAGTGTTTTTATGATATGGATTGAATCTTTGGTGTTTGACTTACAGTTAGAGGATACATTGGGCTCTATAATTCACCCCATTAGTTTTTTATTTTTCAGATTCTTGTGATCGATAGAATCGTCTAGACATTGGAGGATCGACTGGAGACATTTTATTATTTTATATATAGTATGGCCATTTCATATTATTATTATTATTATTATTATTATTATTATTATTATTATTATTATTATATTTTATGTTTTTATCATATTGAGAGTTTATTACATATTTGAGACTTTAGACTATATAATTTAGCATGCAGTATTTTATTAGATATGAATATTTATTATTATTTATGTATGAGCTCTTTTTATGTTTTATGAATTATTGTTAACGTGGTTTCCGAGATTCATTGGTAGTGCCTAAGTCGAGTCTAGGGGTTATACAAATGATCCTCAATTGTAGGACATTGCTTTGGTGAGTTCTTAGACTATTAAAAGTTACAAAACTATCACTCGATTATTCGTATGTGCTATCCTCGTCCTTTTACGTTAAAAAATTGGATGTTACCTACTGACTGGTATATGATAAAATCATATCTAATGATGTTTACTGACACCATTATTGCTTTCAAGCACTAGCTCGATGACATAATATTTCAAGCACTAACTCGAAAATATAATATAAACGGAGAGTCGATTCATAAAATACAACTCAAATGATTATGAGATCAAATTTTATCATATCCTAAATAATATAGACGTTGAATTTGAATCTGTTGGTAGGTTTGACAGAATCAGAAACGAATTGTACGAGTTGGGTATTCTTCCTCTTAGAGTCCCTAAAAAGGGGTGCTTTTGGACGGACAAGAAAAACCATGCTTGCCAAAGCCTTTGCAAAAAAAATTGGGGGTGTCTTTATCAATGTTAAGAGTCAAATTTGATGAGTAAATGGTTTGGCAACGCCCATAAACTAGGCGAACATAGTGGGGGGGGGGGGGTTTAATCCTTGTTATACAATTAAGGGTTCGTAAGATTATATTAATATTGTTGCAGGACTGCCGTCGTTAGTCTGGCTTATAAGGTGCAGCCAACTATTATATATATCAATGAAGTGGGTAGTTTTCTGGGGCAACGGCGAGTGATCATTTCGTGGAAGAATCACTATATTCTAAACCAAATCATCATGATTAGTGTAATCCTTGAAATAGTCATTATCTCTTGATGTTAATATAATTCTTCAATATTTTGAACACCCAAAATCTGAAGTGAAAATAGATGGTATTATTCTTCTAGTAACTTTGAAGAAAGTAAAAAACTTAAAAGAACAATTTATGGAGGATGCAAGAGAATTGAGTTTGGGGATTGTTGATGTGAGCACAAAAGCTATCTACTTATAAATTAGGAGAAGGGCTTAAAAACAACAGGAAAACATCTCATTTATCAAAATTAATGAATGTCTCCAATCAATTGATTTAATAGTCAAATCAATCACTTTAGTTAGTTCAGACAAGTGAAAATCAATAGTCAAAATGCTCACATAATTTCAGTAACAAATGTTCAAATAAAATTTTGAAAACTTTGAGTTATTTTTTCAATGAGTAGTGTACTCCAAGAGACCTTTATAACTACTTCTGAATGATGTTGAGGAAAATGGAAAATTTATATCTCACATTAGTGGGATACCAAGTTTGGGATATGTTTATATAAATGAATCAACTTAGATGTTATTGAATGTGCAAGATAAGTTTATGTCTTATGTGTAGGTGTAGGGTTGTAAATTGATGTAAATTCATCCTAATTGGGTTGGAGTGCACCTACATAATATGGGCAATGTGAAATATCTAGATTGGTTGAACCCTCTTTATGGCATGCAGATATTTTAATCCACATTACAATAGAACAAGTCCATAACAACATTTTTTTTAGTCCTATGACGGCGTTTTAATGCACCAATTTGATGAAGATGCTCTATTGCTGAGGATGGAGGAAGAAAAGGTTAAAGAAGGGATTAAAAAGAATTTATGGATCGGGTAGGAGAAAGGTTTGAGATATATGCATCATATGGCGACATTTTCTTAAAAAATGCCACTAATATAAGAGTATGTAGATCGTTTGTAACAAAATGACACTATTGTACGAGTCTATCGCGACATTTCCTTAAAGATGCCACCTTTTTTCATTCTATACTAAAAACGCCGTTAAAAGTAAATGGTTGAATTCGACATGAACAAATTAAGTAGTTTCAGCAATTAAAGAGAGTTGTGTTCTTCTTAGAGGTCATATATTCAAGTAGTTGTGTCTATGGGTGTGGGTGTGGGTTGTCAATGACTATGAAAGCTTATAAACAAATATTATCTTATAATCATCCTAGTTATATATATATATATATATATATATATATATATATATATATATATATATATATATATATATATATATATATATATATATCAAATTGGAAGCGGTAATTTCCATTTACATGCTATTATTATTTATGCCATTTTCATGTTATTTATATAAATTTTAGGGTAAATTATATTCGTGACTATTTAATTATAAGAATTCTAATTTGATTATTTTTTTTTAATTTATTAATCAAATCATTTAATAATTTAAATGAAATATGTCGAAATTATTTCATGGTGCTTCGAATGTGTTGAGTTTTGGAAGAGCTCGTCATGTGGTTGGAGTTGTCATTGGTCATTTTAGGCTAGGTATGATTAAGCATCTAAAAATTTAAAAGATCGATGGTCAAATTAGAATCTCGTAATTAAATGGTCATATGTATAGTTTATCTTTAAATTTATGGGTAAACTACACTCATGACCATTTAACTATGAGGTAATTCTAAGCTAACCACTAATCTTTCATTTTTATCAATCATATTACTTAAATATTTAAATGATGTCAATTAAGCCACCAACCATTAATATTTAATGGAGAAGGTGATGTGATAGTTAAAAATTTTGGTATAATTATACATGTGGTCAATGTTACTTCCACATTCTATCAATTTGGTCCTAATTTTAATTTAATTCAATAAAATTATTTTCCTCCAATCAAATAGTGGCATATGTCACAACATTGAGTCAATCAGATGCCCAACCATCGAAAATAAATCAAACTTAAATTCATAACTTTTTATCTATCTTAACTTAAATTCATAACATTTTATATATCTTAACTTAATTCATAACTTATTAAATATATTTTATGGTTATTTTAAGTTAGAAATATATTTTATTCTTATTTGAACTTCAAAATATATTTTATTCATATACTAACTTCAAAATATATATTTTATTTTTATCTTAATTTAAAAATATATTTTATTTATATTTTAACAAAAACATTATTCATATATTAACTTTAATATATATATATATATATATATATATATAATTATTTTTATTTTAACTTTATCTTAACTTAAATTTTTAAGTTAAAATATATATTTTTAAGTAAAGATACATATATACATGTATATATGTATAAGTTATGATAATAATAAAATACACTTTTTAAGTAAAACTAAGTATAAAATATATTTTTTAAGTTAAACTAAGAAGAAAATATATATTTTGAAGTTAATATAAGAATAAAATATATTTTTTAAGTTAAGATAAAAAAAAATATGTTTTAAGTTAAGATATATAAAATATAATGAATTTAAGTTAATTTTTATTTATTTGTCATATTGAGATACAAGATGTATATCATACGTGGTCAATAATATAATGGTTTTGACTTAATGGTTAGGCGTGTGGTTGGCTTCTCAAGCTACCTAGGTTTAATTTTCCATTCTCTCGATAATAATAAAATTAGGACTAAATTGGTAAAATATTTAAGTAATGAGATTAAATGTAAAATTATATCAAAATATTTAACAACCACATCATCTTCTCCATTAAATATTAATGATCGGTGACTTGATTGATATTACATAAATAGTTAATTGATCTGATTAACAAAATTAAAAGGTCGATGGCAAGATTAAAATCACTATATCATTAAATGGTCATGAGTGTAGTTTACTCTAAATTTAAAAACAATACAATTTATTAAATTTTTAAATACAAATAGAAGAAGAATTAATATTTGACGCCCATGACTTATTGTTAGTTAACAATAGTGTGGCACTTTATTAATTGTGTTAAATATGTTTAAAATTTTGTAAATAAATAGAAAAAATTGTACCAAACTTTAATTTTTTTTTTTTGCTTTTTTAGTCATTTTACTATTTATGTTTATGTCATAGGCCATGATATTTGGGTCTGGGACATTGGCGCAAGTGTCTGCTAAAGAGGTTATATGCAGAGTATGGGCTTGCCAAGGCCACCAGACTTGGCCCATCACTTGGAGAATGTTATTAAGCCCGTTCACATTGGTCGTGCAGAAAAGAAAAGTGACATCATATATGAAGATGATCACAAGAGCTCGGTAAATATGACAAGAGACAACAAATGAGGAAGATATTGTGGGGGAATCTTATCATATACAATGTAAACACCTACCCAAGGAAAAAATCCTACTAATTGATGTAATTAGGTAGGACAGGATTGAGTTCCCTTAGTTAAGAGAAAATCTTGTAGATACAATCTATTGATTTAGGGGATATTGTATTAACTGGGCAGATCTTAGCCGTTGATGTAAATCGATCGTAGTCATTGATTGAGAAGGAGCTCAACTATAAATAGATAGCCTCTTCTCCTCATTTGGATCATTCATTCATTCATTCATTCCTCCATTCTCTTGGGAGAGAGTAATAAAACTCTGAGGCATTTACTCTAGTTCTTTTGTTCTTTATTCTTTATTCTCTTGGTGCTTGTTGCTTTTTAGGTGTCTAGGAGTAGTCACACTTGTGTTTGCACTTTCACACCATAGTCCAACCTTGGTGACTTAGAGTAGTCACGGTGGTGTTAAAGCTTCCGCATCCTAGAAGCCTTGATGGCTTGGCTCCAACCTTGGTGACTTTGCATGCTCACTAGGCTTGGGTAAGGCCTACTTAGTCACAGAGAAGACCCAGAAGTGTCAATAAGCGCATAAGGTCGCATGACTCGTTAGACCTTAACTCTGATATTGTGACAGTTTGGGCTTGAAGGTTTTGAAGGCGTGACATTTAGAATCTATGATGGTTCATCTCAATAATATCATATTTGAACGTGTTTGTTGCTCTCCCATTCTTTTTTTTT